GAAATTTCCTTTGGCCGCGCCGCTTACACCTCCGGCAAATGAATACCTTAGAACACTCCGAACAGAGAGACGCAATTATTCGACTGCGATGAATATTCCGCGAATTCTTTCAACCCTTATACCCGCCACTTAATTAGCGAACACACGGAACACGAATAAACGTACACACTATAATGCGGTCGCTTTCAAAAATTCCCGATGAAACCGTGAATTCGATAAAAATCCTCCTCGTAATTAACAATCAAGCGCGATACAAAATTGTCCAGTTTTTAGTTTCAATTTGTAATATCAGTTCACTGTAACGTCAGTGCACCGAGGTCGAAAATTTAAAATAAACACGGTAGAATCGCAGATGACGCTTCGAGACAAGTATAAATTTTTCTAATGGATTTCATCGGAATAAACAAGGATACAGTTCCGCGTGCGTGTGACGCGTAAACAGACCGTTCGCCGAAATCAGCGGCGCTAAAATGGTTCGAAAATGGGAAATTGAATGAAATCGTTTGAAAATTCCGTTGGTACGGAACGGAGTTTCATATAAAAATTGCAGCGCGGAATACTTAGCAAATATTGGCGCAATTGGAGGAGTTATTAATTCTAAACAAACAAATAAAAAAGCATACACATATACACACACAGAGGATATTTCATTGGAACGTATCGAGTAAGTTTTAATTTTCCAGCGACTGTATATCGAGGAAAACAATTAAACGACCGGCTCCGATCGGGTCGAATCAAATTTCAAAGTTTCCCGAAATCGCTGGAAATTCGTACGACCGCCATGAACGCGGGGATCCGGTAGTCCGGCAAGTGGTCCCCCATAAACAAGCTCCCAGAGATGTCCCCGAACGAAAACATCCGAGAAGTTAAGATCTGGAGGACCAGTAAGGAGGCCACTTCGTGTCGTTCCCGTTCGCGTGGAAGTTTCTCCGGCAACTTGTTAGAAAATCGTCCACAGAGCAATTTTCAAACCTGTTTTCGGTCAAATATTTCCACAGCCCCTTTGCCCGCGCGCGTCTTTACATCAACATCTCCGGCGGAAAAATACAATTATTATACCGAGCGAAAATTGCTCTGCTAATATTGACTGGCAGATTCAAGCTACGAGACGGGACGACTGTCCAAAGACATTAAACAGAGAAATTTATTATCGTTAGCGGAGCATTCCCGAAGTGCATCTCTCAATTAGCTTTTTAATTATACGAATTGTGAAACTATATGAATGATGTTTCTAGTGTTCAGTAGAAGATTTTTACTGTAGAAACGCTATATTTAAGAAATCTTTCGATTGGCTTCTGACGTGTTTCCAAAGTGCATCTCTCAATTAGCTTTTTAATTGCATGAATTGTGAAACTATATAAGTGATGTTTCATTAGAATGATGTTTCTAGTGTTCAGTAGACTTTTACTGTAGAAACGTTATATTTAAGAAATCTTTCGACTTGCTTCCGACATTAAAACTTGAGGCACACTTAAATCGAGGGACAAAGCTACTTTGTTTGAATATTTCAAAATCGATGCATTATACGAAGTTTAACATTAAGTATCAAATTTTATAATTTTACTGTATGAAATCAATTGGTGAGAGGCACCTCTCGAGTGCAAAGGGTTAAAAGCTGCGAATCCCTGAATATTCGTAATTTTCCTTTTCGGAGACGAAATTTTCAATTCAAGAAAGGTTCCTCTATAGAAATGAATTATTAAGGTATCGAAAATGTTCAGAGAGTTAAACGTAACGTTTGTCTTCCTATCGCGAAATTGCGTTTCGAGCGTCGATTTAACGGGGAAAACGTTTCGCACGGAGGAAAAACCAGCTGAACACAAACGAGACGTTAATACGATTCGCTGATCAGACTCCTCTTAATCCTTCCGGCTTGCGGTGCCGCGGTTTGAATTATCCCTTCGGTGTATGTCGATAAATATTAATAAGAGCATTTGTACGGTCGCGATTGCGCGAGAGGAAAAAAGAGAAAATAAAAAAAAAACAACAATATAGCGATCGGCCGGCGTAACGCGGTTCGCCATTCCCTTAGCAACGTTCGCGCAATTAAATTGGCCGAACGGGGTGGCCTGGAAAATATATTGGACCGCGAAGGGTTCAATCGCGTTAACCTTTCACGGGCCGGATTTTAAATTTCCTTCTCGGTTACGGTGACCCGGGCTATCTCCGCGGGAAACGTTTTTGCCGACGTACTAACTCATTGACGATAGGACACCAGAAATAATCGTGTAATATAATACCGGCGATTGAACGTACTGTCCCGTTCTATTTATAATCGATCGTTAATTATTCGCCGCTCCGCAGTCTGCTCGAACGAGCTCGTTTCATTTCGTGTTTCCGTCGAAAGAATTAAGAATTACCTTGGTATCGAGTGGGCCGGTATAGATACGACACTGTAAAATCGATTTCTATCGCGGTGCAGATAATGGAAAGTACTTTCTTAACACTAGGTTTAACGCGTCGAATCGACGCGTAATGGATGTTAGAAATATTATTTTGTAAATACACCGATTTTGATTGATGCGATCACACTGACATGTAGCCCAATTAACTACTATCGAATCTCCAGTTTCCACGATCTAAATAAACGAGCATCGATTCTTTTAGGAATAATAGAATGACGTGTACAATAAATGCCCGTGAACCTAGTGTTAAAATATAATGCTCGAGGGTGAGAAATTAACGCAAGTGTTTATACTACGACGTTTCTGGGGAATGTTACTAAAATTGACTTTCAGATTTAGTTTTAATTAATTAACCTCTAGCACCCGACAATATGTTTATAAACACTCATTATTTTCTGACGAAGTATTAACGATATTCTTTGCGACTCAGATAAAGGAAGAACTTGTTTAAATTATGAGGTAGAATTGTTTTATTTCTGTTCACGTGTTAGTGCCTTATTCAACAGTTCAAACCGAACGTTTCATTTTATCGTTTCGCTGCGTTCAACCGAATGACGAGGGCCTCTCGAATAAAGGTTCAACAGACCCAAGTTCGACGACGGAGAATGCAATAAGATCAACGATCGATCGTGGATCCGCACGAATCGTTCATCGATCCACGGTGAATCGAAGAACGAAGAGCAGCCCTCGCAATCAGCCCGAAATCACCGGAGACTCCGCGAATCTGTGAAAAGCGGAGGCGCCTCGTCAAAGATAAATCGTCGTCGAGAGTATATCAAGAAGGAATATCAACCGGCTCGTTAAATCGGCGAGAAAAAACTGCATCTCCTCGCGGCGCAGGAGGGCGGCGCGAGGGAGGTGTGCGGCGGCAGCGAGAAAAAAGGGGGTAGCGGATAGCCCGCGACAGGGGTGGGGCGGGGGCGAAAGAGAAAGAGAGGAAAAAAGGAATTGAACGATGCGCCGGGACGTACGACGCAGACGATACGAGGCGGTTAGACGACGTCCGAGAATAAGCGTCGGGATTATAAGGTACGCATACAAACCGTCGTTGCGGGGGTTGAAGGGTGGCCGGCGGTGGGCGCGGGGATGTTAGCGGTCGCCCTCTCGCTCGGCTGCAAGCACGTGGACGGCGGGACGAGAGAGAGAGGAGCATCGAGACGGGACAAAAACGCTATCAACGATGAGAAAAAGGAAGGACACCCCTAGGACGAACGGAGGAAGGGACGCAGCGTCCTGGCAGAGACGGAACTACAGAGAGACACCGGAGCCGAACGGAGAAAGACGGACGGAGAAAGAATCTCGAGAGAAGAGCAATGATACCAGTAAGAAAGAGGATGGATTTAGGAGAGAGGAAGCGGCCCTGATTGAGGATGAGGGGGATGGAAAAATGGAAAAGAGGAGGAACGATATAGCGACGCGCGAGCGGGAGAGGGATCGCCGTTGGACAGAGGGGAAAGGCAAAGCGAGCGATGCGCTATCGCGGAGCCCTGCCAGCGAACGCGGCACGACGCCGGGGTCGGCGCTATCGATTGGCGTCGGCGTTTCCTCGACGTCGCTATTTGCCCGCCGCCGTCGTCTCTGCTTTCTCCCTCGCGCTGCGCGGCCGTCCTCCTCCGCGCTCTCTCCGTCCCGCTCGCGCCTACATTCTCACCTCGGTTTTCGTTCATCCTGCTTCGCCACCCTCGACCACCACTCAACCTCAACCCTCTGTCTTTGTCCTCCATCTCCTGTCCCCCGTCCTCCTCGCACGCGCGCATAGAGGCGTCCTCCTCTGGCCTGCCATCCGGTCCACCCACCCCCCGGCCGTAAACTCCTCTCCTCTCCGCGAGTGTCGCGCTCTCCGTCGCACCAGAACCCTCTCGACCACCCTCGCGTCTTCCTCCCCCTCCTCCTCCAGGTTGGCGTCCATGTTCGTCCCTCGTTGCCGCGCCGTCCTCGTCCGCCTTGAACCCCGTAGCTGACTCGGTTCCATCCGACGGCGGTAACAGGTGTTGCTCCGCCGGCCCCGAACTCGTACAAAATCGATGGGCAAGAGCCACATCGGCGTCGGGGCTAGGACTCTCCCCTGGCGATTCACCCTTCTTGCTCGTTCGGCTTCCTCGTTCCTACGTTCGTTCCAACCCCTCGATCGAGGGCGGAAAGGGAGGACCGAGCGAGCGAGCGCGCTGCTTGGCAGGGGGTGGAATAGAGTAAAAGGGAAAAGGAGAAACAGCGAGCGCGCGAGGGGTTGAACGCGTGGACGCGAGACGGTGCGACTCGCGAGGGAGAGCGACGGGTAGAGTGCAACGGGGGTGACTCGCGAGAGGGTGCGAGGGAGGACGGAGAATCGGTGCGAGAGGGTGGGAATGTATAGAGAGAGAGAGAAAGAGAGAGAGGTGAGGATGAACAGAGGGGAAGTCGAGGAGAGACTGCGAGGGTGAAGGAGGACGAGTTAGGGGATAGAGAGAGAGGCACTGCGCAGGTCGAGCGAGCGAAAGAGGAAGGGAGGGATGGAAGAACAGGAAGGAGCTGCACGAAGCGAGGAGGAAAGGACGCAGGCGCCCAGGACGCTGGGCGACGCTGGTCGACGACGCTGCATTGGCAGTTGCACCCCAGCCACACCCGGTACGAGCCATGTAGTCGGGCTACCCTCCACCGCGATACACGGCGGACAATTGTTGCTTCTGCGCCCACAGGTGGTACATCTTCATCTTCGATCTTCGTCCTGGCTGGACGTCTTGCCGTACGCTGGTCCGGGCCAGCCTAGCAGCCGCGGGGTTTAGCTACCATCGGCGCTAGCGGCCGATCCGCCCGCGATATCCCGGCCCGTGTCCGTGCACGGGTGCATGGGGGTAGCAGTCGTCATGGTCGCCGCGGGTTTACGTGCCTCCGTTTGCGTGTGTTCCCAGTGAGAATCGTACCGTCGACGTGTCCCCCCTCGTCTGCGTGCGTCTTCGCGAGAGTTCGCCCACCGGCTGACGGGACGACGGATCACCAGCAGCAGCAGCGGTGGCAGCAACCCGGACGAGTCAGCAACGAAAGAGGGAGAACGTGTTACGCGCTGGCTGCTGTCCGAGGCTGAGGAACAGCCGCACGAGGGCAGAGTTGTAGCCGCGTGAGGCTATCGTTTCTACGTGTCCTCCCTACCCTCTGCCTCCGAGGCTGCCACCCTCCGACTCCCCCCTTGGTCCGATTAGCGGCTCGGTTTCCCGAAAAAAACGGCCGCAGGAAAAACACGACGGAAGGTGGAAGACGGACGCGCCGCGAGACGGGGCAAGGAGGACCACCGACCAAAGGAGGGGGGAGGGCAGAGAGAGAGAAAGAGAGAGAGAGAGAGAGTTATCGACAAACACGCGTAAGGCGACAGCGCACACGTACGGATACACAAACATCGCGGACCTGTTGTCCAACTTGTTGCTCGTCCCTGCAAAAGGCACACACCCGCCGCCCCACCTTCCGCGACAGACGCCGACGGAGTTTTTCGAAAAGGAACGATCGTCGGCCGGCTGCGGGCTGAGATTCCACCGAAGACGCCGGCGACAGGGTAGCTTCGGCTGGCCGGGTTCGCGCGAACCTGATGAATCCTCGGCGGAGACCACCTGGACTGAACGATTGTTGCTACATGCTTAAGTTTTCCGCGATCGGATTCTGAGACTGCGACGCTACAGGAGGACTGTTCGTCGGATTTTTATCTTCTTCGAGAGCTAGACGAAGAGCTGGATCAGACGTTAACGACTCTGCCGATTGGGACCGGGTTCCTCAGCTGTGTTAGCGAAGTTCGATGGATAGTCGAGATTGAACACCGGATCGTTTTCGAGAAGTGTCCGATTGGTTCGGAGAAGCTAGGGAGAGGCTAGTTCAGGTGAAGACTGAGGGTGCTAATCGGGTGTCCGGGGACTGATCGCATGTGGCTCGGCCAGGCAGGGTTTGGAAGCCTTCGGTGCGGCGACGAGATGAGGGTAACGCGGAAACGGACACGCCCGACGACCACGGTGCCGGAGGACAGCCTGGCTGACGGAATGGAACGTCGCTGGGACCAGCCGGGCGAGTAGAGTTTAGCTGCCAGGCACGGCCGGGGAGACTCGGTCATCAATAAAGACTTATCATTTACAATACCGAGGGAGCGGAAAGCTGAGACTGGAAGGCTGAACGTGTAAATAATCGTAATCGAGTTGATCTTGAGATTTGTACATACGAGCATAAATATTCTATAAGGAAAATGAACGGAAATCCTCGAGCAACGCCGACGCGAGCGGACGTCCCGACGAAGGCGTCAGCGTCGAAGGGTTAGGGTAAAGGAGCACCGGACGATCGGGATCGTTCCAGTCTCTGTTTCCACGCGAAACAGCCGAAGGGGGAACAGGGGGACAGGGCAGAGGTGAATGATCGAGGAGGCTGACCGCTCGAATCGTCGGGAAGCGTGTAGCTGACGCGTTAGGTGTAGCGCGTAGGGTCGTTATGACGTAATCTTCCACCCGTGAATACAACGAAAGCAATACTACAAACAAGGTAAACAAACTAGAAACAAGAAGAGAGAGGACAAGCTGAGAATTTAAGAAAAAAAAAGAGAAAGCGACGAGAAAACTCTTTCTCGTCCTGGATCCCCAGCTGCAACGTTCGCGAGTTACCAAAACGGACATCCTCGAAACTTCGAACGCTCGGATCTACTCGCTCGCTCGCTCGCTTCGCCGAAAGATATTTTAATACGAACGTATATACACACACGACGCATATACAACTCGCGTATATAGGAGCCGACTAGCTATATACACGGACAAGGGACTCGTTCGCGAGAGAGGAGCCGAACAGCCGCTGTTTGATCGTGCAACGACATCTAGAATTAAAATACCAGTGGTGCCCGGCGCGTCGAGGTGTATAACCTGCGCGGAGTCGGGACCGACGTTTCAACTGGGACCTAGAGATCATTATCGATAGAACGCTCCCCTGGGCAGAGCAGCTAACAATCCGGAGCGATCCCAGGCAGCTTCGTCTAAACCCGCCGGAGCTCGATTGGTTAGGTCGCGCCGGCGAACGAAGAGGAGGATGCAGCGACACGTGGGCAGGATCGGTTGAAGGATCGATCGGAGGATCGAGAAAGTCGGCGCGATCCTGGTGGCCTCCGCGGAGACCACCAGGACGACATTTTTCGCTGGACCTCGAGAGGCTGACACGAGACGAGCGGAAAAGACGATCGGCCTGAAGCTGTCTTCTGTGTACATACCCGGTGTCCTTAGGGTAAAGGCGAGCTCCGAACGGATCCCTCGCCGAGACGGAAGGACCAGCGTCTTCTTCTTTCCTTCCGTCGAGGAACAGGGTTAATAAGTAGATCGGACGACAGAGCCTCGCGCTGACTGATGCACCCTGCGACCGGTGAACGGGGTTCAACGGGGCGAGGAGACGTCCGCCGGTAGTGGCCGTGAAGAGAGTTTCCCTGGGTGGCTAACGGAGAGTTCACGGACAGTCGAAGGCAGCCAAGATGCCGCGGTGTTATATGGTGAAGAAGGCCCTGTGCAACAAGTATGTAAGCAGCGTTGCCAGAGGATTCGAGAGCTGGGGTCGCGGCAGGAGCACGCCATCGCCAACCACCATGCAGATACCAGTCTCGCCCATAGAAGGGAGCGTTGCACCCCCTGTTGCTCAAGGTACGAGGCTCCAACTATTTAGCCGGCTGAACCGCTTCCCTTTGATCGTTTATGAGTCGGACTTAACGCCAGAACTACCAATTAGGTCGACATTACTCATCCTTGATCTCTCGTGTAGCGATTATCGGGGCCGATTCTTCGAGGAATCGTTCGGGAAGTTGATTTAGTAACTGAGGTGTTAGTCGATTGGATCGTAAATGCAATTGTATTTCTGTGGAGGATTAACACTTTGACACGTCATTAACGTGATTTTGAATATTCGTTCTCTTCGCGACAGTAAGTAGCAAAGCAATCAGGATCTTGACTCAGTTTTTGCTTTATTAACACTTTGCCACGTAAACACTCGTCGAAACTCCCATGTACTCGAAACAGTTTTCTCCATTAACCGGAAACTGAGAAATCAAGATTCTTCTTAATAATTTCTCCACTATCTTTCTTGTATCTCATGTATCCAACAAAATTCGGTTCGTTCGATACGTCATGAAAAAAATTAATGTCCACGTATCTGTAAAAAATAATGTCACCCGAATTCGGGTGACGTGGCAGTCAAAGTGTTAAGGAAACTGTATGTTATGGTTGTTTACTTGGCAGTCAAAGTGAGGATGTTTGTTAACTCGGTGATATGTTAACCCTTTGCACTCCAGAGGCGCCTCTAAGTCACCAAATGATTTGAAACAGCAAAACCGTAAACTTTGATATTTAATATTAAACTTCGTATAACGCATCGATGTACGAAATATTGAAAAAAAATAGTTCTTTTCCTGAATGCTTGTGAGATTTCTTAATTCAATCTAAGAAAATGTCTGTATCTCATTAGAAAATATTGATTATTTCCGGTGAAAAGCTTCTGGAGTGCAAAGGGTTAACAGGTTAACCGAGGAACTTAGTGCTAAACATTGTTGTGTATCGAAGCCAACGAGATGAGAAAGAATTCTGTTAGTTCGAAAAGCAAATAGTTGAGAACATTAGTGTTTGTGTTGAGTATCTGTTGGCAGGTTGAATGAGACTGAGTCGACGTTGTTCTGTATTGTTCGATGATTTCCTTTGATTCGAGTCGTCGATCAGGAAAATTAGAGACATTCGACGGAAGTTTGTAGACAAGTTCATCAATTCGATGAATCTTCATTTTCTACATGTTCAAATTTCGTTAATTTCTATGGGATTTTTATATGGGTGTCGTTCATAGATTGCCCTGCAATCAGGATCGGAGGATTCCATGAATTTCCCAACATTCACCTCGTAGCTAGAGTAGAACAGAGTACAATATATTTCCGAGCAACAATAGTTCACCGTCGATCGACACGAGCCCGCGATTTCAGTCGATGACGCAACATTATTTAATACCGAAAGTTCCCTGCTCCGATTGCGTCTGATCGCGCACATCGAGTGATTCCGCATTAACGTACGGAAACGCTCAGCCCCGAATTTCCAGGTTACGAATCCATTCACCAATTAAATCTTGAAACCCGGTTACTCCGCGCCGCGAACGGAAACAGAAAAACTGCTGTCCAACGAAACACTGAATCTCCGCGTCTATTATTCCCTTTCACCTCTGTTTATTCTTCCCCGTTTGAAAATTCCGCGCCGTTCGCGGTAAACAGCCGCGCGAAAGGAATATTATATTCCGGAATCATTAACGGCCAATCGGAATGCCGCGTAACGCAGAAGTCCGCGAAATGATTTACGAGGGCGGGGGCTACAAAACGAAATGAAATACGTGTCGACGACGGAAATAACTCGATCCGTAATCCGCGTCTTAATGATCAATTATCCGGAAACAGGCGATATTTCCCGTGGAACGTTAACGCAGCTTAAACGTCCGTCCGTTTTACGGCGCGCGAACGAATTGCATTTCGAGAAAAGAGTTGCCATCCGTCTCGCTGCCATCGCGAGGCGTGTATGTATTGACGTACGCTAGACCCGGCGCCATTCCTCGCGCGGAATAATCTAGA